TAAAATAAAAAATATTGGAAGATTTATGTTTTATTTAAAATTTTTCATATAAAATATATTTTAAAATAAATTATCATCTAAAAATTTATATTAGACATTAAAACATGTTTATATCATAAATAAAATAAACTTGTTTTTTTATAAAATTTAATATATTTATTTTTATATTTTTATTAGTGTTAAATTATTATAAAGTAGGTCTTTCAAATTGTATTCCTAACCAAACATTTAAAAAATGTCTATGATAGATAAATAAGGCATATATATAATAAGAATTTTAAAAAAAAATATTAGGTTCAAACCTACTAAATTATAATATAATATAATTTAACCTAATTTATTTCATCTTTAATTATAATCATAGATATAAAAGCTTGTAAAAAATAATTATGATAAATTTATATTTTTAAAAGTTATATGTAAATTTTTTAATATTATAAATATATAAATAAATATTGCCCCCACTATTTAAAACTTCTGGATCCGTCACTGATTTTGATTGATATAATTAACACGATTTAAATGAAAATATTTAAACAGCATGCTTAAATATAATTATTGACTTGATTATCAACACGATATGTATACTCTTAGGTAGACACATGATATTTTTGTACCTACTATTGAATCTCCTTCGTGCTTGAAGTTAGGGGCTATGTACCCTCTTAGGTAGATATCTGATATGTTGATTCTCATTTACCTTTAAATAGTAGTGGATGTAAGACCTTTAATAAATGGAGACAAATTTTTTTTTTATAAAAATAAATAATAATACTAATAATACTAATAATCATCATCATATGTATAAGAAGAGCAAAACACAAATGTTTAAAATAGTTATAAGTGAGTTCAATATATGAAATTAAGGGTGTAAAATATATATTTTTTAAACATGTACTACTAATTTAATTTAAATAAGGGTACATTTACTCACTCTATAATAAGTATAGATTTGTCACTTTCTTTGAAATTCCTTTGTACTAGAGACTTGAGGATTATATAATCTTTTGAGTTGATATTCAACATGTTGTCGATAATTCAATCTTATTAAATCGTATAAACGTCCAACTTTGTATAGATAAAGACCCAATAAACTATGGTATCCCAAATTAAAGAGAAATAGGAATGAATAATTAATCACTCTTTAACATGAAATTTTATATAAAAAAAAATGGAATTATAACATGTGGCACAAACCTATAAAACCCAAGTTTAGTATAAAAAAAAAAAAAAAAAAAAAAAAAAAAAAAAAAAAAAAACTTCCACCCTAATTCGTGAAGCAATATATAACAAGATTGGAGGCGAGGAAAGTTATTGGTTTCCGGCAAGGACCGAAGCTCTCGTAGTCACGGATTTAGCCATATACAGAAACATGAATCACCTGATGTAGGTTCAAAAAGTCACAAGCAATGGATCCACATGGCTCAACTGGAACCATAAATTAGTTTGGCTGTGTTAAGTGTTGATAAGTATTGATAGTTTTGTACAATTAGAAACAATTTTGACTGAAAATAATTTTTTGCCCTTTTCAACCTATTCGTAAATAAAATTTGTAAAAGAATGGATTTTTTAAAATTAAAAAATAAATGAATTAAAAGATAATAAATAGAATAATTAGTAGGGAGTAGGGACGCAAGCTGAAACTGGCGCGTGGTGGTTCCTTTTGTCGGGGGACCATTGAAATAATATGAATTTTGGTTACCCACGTGGCATGTGGTTACTAGAAATAAGTTTATGCAATTGTGACGTCTTGTGTTGTATTCATCCCAACCGTACACGTGTGTTTTTCATATTTGCAAGCAACTTTGTCAGGCCCTCTTGTCTTGTCTCTGAAACCTCTAAATAATTGTTTCTGCCTATAATAATCTTAAGCAATTAAAAGGGGGTGGAAATGGAAATGTGGAATAATATGGGTTGTTTTATTAATTTAGAATAAATAATAAATAATAAATAATAATAATAGATTGGATATGGCGGGGTAAACATGATGAAAATGTAAGTCATAAGTTGGAAAGACGTGGTTGAGTGGTGGTGGTAGTGACAGGTGTCTGCTGTGTTGGAAAATAAATATAGAAAAAAAGAAGAAAAAAGAGAAGGAATTGTGTTATATGAGGTGAGGAGAGGAGAGGAGTGGAAGAATTGTAGAGTGGGTTCCGATGACGATCACTATGCAGTCGACGCCGGGAAGTTCTGGATATCTGGATTTGTATCCAGAGCGGAAGATGTCCTTTTTCAAGAATCCTTACATTCTTGGACTCGCTTCTGTTGCTGGCATCGGTGGTCTTCTCTTCGGATACGACACTGGTATGCTCCTCCTCCCTCTTACTCTCTTCTCCGTACTCAATATCACACCATTTCCTTTTTCTTTTTTTCTTTTTTTGCTGCAGGTGTCATATCGGGAGCTCTTTTATACATCAAAGATGACTTCCAGCAAGTCAGAGACAGTAATTTTCTGCAGGTACCAATACCATCCCTTTTATTCTCTTCTATTGCAACCAATCTGCTTATGCTAGTATACTATTGGGGGTTGGTGTGGATGTATCAGGACTTAGGTTCAAAAAAACACTATAGTTGACTGCTACAGGCATTGATTTGAAGGGGAAAATAATACTCTTTACTCTTTACTTTGGATCTTCCCAGGAAACAATTGTCAGCATGGCAATTGCTGGGGCAATTGTTGGAGCGGCAATTGGTGGTTGGATAAATGATGCTTATGGACGAAAGAAGGCCACCCTCTTTGCGGATGTCATCTTTACTGCTGGAGCAGTTCTCATGGCTGCTGCACCAGATCCTTATGTTCTCATATTGGGACGTCTTCTGGTTGGTTTGGGTGTCGGCATAGCTTCAGTCACTGCTCCTGTATACATTGCTGAAGCATCCCCTTCCGAAATAAGGGGATCATTAGTAAGCACAAATGTGCTCATGATAACTGGTGGACAGTTTCTTTCCTATCTTGTAAACCTTGTATTTACAGGGGTCAGTGTTCCATGCTCTCATCTTCAATTGCTTTCGCTATTTTCTGCATCTCTTCTTCTTCTTTTTAATAATAAAAGATAATAACATATACTTCATTTCTTGTCCCAAAAGTTCTCAAAATGTCCTTATTCTGTCCACGTGTTTGCTTTTCGGTATTATTTCGCTAACCACTTTTTCACATTGAGAGCAGGTACCTGGGACATGGCGATGGATGCTTGGTGTTTCAGGTGTGCCTGCAATTCTTCAGTTTGTTTTCATGCTCTTCCTGCCTGAATCCCCAAGATGGCTATTTATAAAGGTAAACGATTGCCTCATTGCTCTTCTCAAGGATTATGTCTAAGGTGTTACCTTCAAAAGCTACTAGTTTATGATGCCATCTTACAATTTTATCTTTGTGTACAGAATAGGAAAAATGAAGCCGTTGATGTGCTTTCTAAGATCTTTGATGTTGCTCGGTTAGAAGACGAAGTCGATTTCCTAACTGCTCAATCAGAGCAAGATCGCCAAAAAAGGAGCAATATCAGATTCACAGATGTTTTTAGATCAAAAGAAATCAGACTAGCATTCCTTGTTGGTGGCGGTCTTCTGGTAATAAAATGTTTAGAAAGAGACTGTTCATGCAAAATACAACTGTTTCGGATATAAATGCTCTTTCTTGTCAATACATTAACTAGAACAATTCTGCTCTGCTAAACATAACTTCAAATGGGAATGCCACTTATTGATATCATAGGCCTGTAGTATATACTTAAAAGCTCTAAGTTATACTTATATGAGCATGGCTTGTTCACATTACTGTAGAGATTGCAAGGGCTGAATTTATATTGAGCAGAACCTGTTAGCTTTTAATTTGAAAAATAAGCTTTGTTGAAGACTATTTTCATTTGCTGGTTAAAATAAGTAAACCTTACTGCCAAGTACATTCATTGATATATCACGTGCTGAATGTTTTCACTACTTCTTGCTTAATTTCATTTTGGAATACATTAAATCAATTTTCAGTGTAAAATCTTTTCGTTTCCGCTTTGATTTAAGTTTTCAGGCCGGTGCTTAGTTTTCTTGTTTCAGACTTGTATGTGGTTCTGTTTAGTCCTGGTTCTCTGGTTTTGTGATTGATAAAAGAAAACAACCATCTTCCCTTGTACAGTTGTACTCTGCCAGTGACAACTAAGTGCATTATGGAATTAGGTCTTGTATTTGAAATTTTGAATATTAATAACATCAGTTTATACATGTGAAATGTGTTCTTACAGCATCCAATGGTTGGTTGTGCAGGCTTTTCAGCAGTTCACAGGTATAAATACAGTCATGTACTACAGCCCGACAATTGTCCAAATGGCTGGATTCCAGGCTAATCAATTGGCTCTTCTCCTATCCCTGATCGTTGCCGGCATGAATGCTGCCGGAACTGTTCTCGGCATTTACCTAATCGACCATGCAGGGCGGAAAAAATTAGCTCTTTCGAGCCTGGGAGGAGTAATTGTATCTTTGGTGATATTGGCCTTCGCATTTTATAAGCAATCATCATCTTCAAATGAATTGTATGGATGGCTTGCAGTTATAGGCTTAGGATTGTATATTGGTTTTTTCTCCCCAGGAATGGGGCCTGTGCCATGGACTCTGAGCTCAGAGATATATCCGGAAGAATATCGAGGTATCTGTGGGGGCATGTCAGCCACTGTGTGTTGGGTTTCAAACTTGATTGTCTCAGAGACATTTCTTTCAATTGCGGAGGCCATAGGGATTGCTTCAACTTTCCTGATTATTGGTGTTATAGGTGTGGTTGCATTTATATTTGTTCTTGTGTTAGTTCCAGAGACCAAAGGATTGACATTTGATGAAGTGGAAGTAATATGGAGGGAGAGAGCTTGGGGCAAGAACCCCAACACACAGAACCTTCTTGAGCAGGGAAGTCATTCCTAAGGTGTGTGAGAGCTTGTTGGCCTAAATAGATGCATTGTGTAGCATTTCTTGAGTACACTTGTGAAATCTGATGACTCTATATATTATGTTATTATTTATATATGTATTCACATGTCCGATTAGATTAGCGTCTTCACTTGCCTCATAATCATAATCATAGTTATGATTAAAATGCTGTACTGTTTCACTTGGCACTTCTTGTGAACGGAGAGGAAACTGAGGACTGCTCGGCAACATCATTAAAATGCTGTACTGTTTCACTTGGCACTTCTTGTGAACGTTATATGCATATTTTGCTGTTTGAATTTATCTTTAATAGTTTTTCAATCCTGCAATTCTGAAGTTATTTGTTTGTTCAGATCTCATCCCTCAATATATATATTGTATATAGAGAGAGGTAGAGTAAAAAATAATTTTTTCATTTTAATATTAATTATCTATTTTAATTATATAGTTAGTATTTATTTCTCTCACTTATTTTACCTTCGAACTATTTTATTAGTTTATAACTTTTATGTATATTTTTTTTTAAATATTATAAACTTATAGATATAGTATTTTTGAAAAACTATTTATTATATTGGGTTTTCTATTATGTGCAACCTTACGCACGATAATATTTACTATTAGACTAATTAAATTATTTAGTTTATTATTTATCTTAATAATAGTAACTATTTTATTATTATCTTTCTATTATTCAACCGTCGCGTAATAAAGTGCAAAATTGCACCTAATGTAAGAATCACATTATATTATACAGTTTGAAATATATATTTTTTATAATCTTACTTTACCTTTTTCTTACAGTTTAAAATATTTTTTTTTATAGTTTTTATATTTATTTTTTTCATACTTTCTTCTAGATTAAAATAGATCCTTTTAATTTTTATATTATTATAGTTTCTTTTTTAATTTGTTTAGTCTTTGATATCAATTATTTGTAATGTTATTTTTTTTCTATTAATGTGATAAAGATATATAATTTAATTTTTGTGTTTGATGTTTTAATTAAGTCTCAATATTTTGTGTTTCTTTTATTTTTACCCGTGACATTATTATTGAGACATTTTTTTTTACTCTTATAAAATTGAAGCACATCATCACAAAATAGATAAATGTTACCAAAAAGAATTAAAGATAGGATCTAAAAGATAATTTTTTTTTGTAAGTATAGAACTAAAAAGATTTATTTTAAATTATAAATTTAAAAAAAACTGAAGAAGATAAATATAAAAATTAAAAAAATTATTTTAAAATATAAAAATTAAAAAGTAAAGTAAGTAAAATTATAGAGATTAAAAAAGAAATTTATTCTATTATATACAAGACACTATTATTACAAATTTATCGATTTATACCATGATCCATCTATAATTGAATTAATGAACCTTAAAGCAGTATCTTACATGTTCAACGACCAGGTATATTTTAAAATCATTATTAATTTTTTTATTTTTATCTAAACCTGAAAACAAGAGCATTATCTGCAACCTTATCTGAGCTTACTACCTGGTTTACTGATGAGAACTATGATGGCTTTGATACTGAGGCTCTTGAATTGTCTATCAATTTATATATACTAAGTTGGCTTAGAAGAAAAAACGAATTCTCATTAATAAAAGATTAAAGATGTAAAAAAATATGGCAAGAAGACCGGTTCAGGCGAGGTAGTCATCCACATTTATTCGTAAAATTCGGTAATTCAGTTACAGTAATGCAAGTATCCACGTAATCTTGGCCATGGCTCTAAAACTAGTCTCCTAATCTTACTGGAACACTTCCGGGTACACCGTTATAACTATACTATTTAAATTCATTAATTTAGAGAAAGACATCTACTCTAGTTTTGATTCGTTGCATTGCCATCGGTCTCTATACTACGTACGTGAAGAAAAGGATTAAATTTGCACGTAAAATTGTTTGTTTGCTTGCATGAGAGTATATATAGATTGAGAATACTGGTGGCATCATTGTGAACTCAAAAAGCTTCAGCCATAAATGACAAAAAGTTTCATCCGGGCAGATTCTCGGGGTATTTTGGCGCTTGTAATTGCTGGTTCTTGCTCTTTGCCATCACCAGAATTTGACACAATCCCCGAGGAGTTTGTTATTTCTGTCACCAAGTTCCGCAAAAGGTTTACTACACAAGTTTATTAGTTTGCGTTCATCACCAATTCTTTGCGACACTTTGTTAATATATGTAGATTTTTAAGTGTTTCAAGTTTTTGTTTCTTCCCATTGATATTTATCATCAACTTCAGTCATTATGTTTTCTCTCTGTATTCCTCATTGTCTATACCAATAATGGAGCTTATTAGTTTTAAACACAGTTTTACATGTTTCAGATGGAGCACGGAATTACCAATTCAGCCGACTCCGTTAATGTCGAAGTAATCGAGGTTAGTTATTCTTAGTTGATATGGTTTAGTTGTTTCATTTTGCTTCCTAGTAAAGGGGTTCTTCGTGTTAATGTTAAATAGAAAAACAATTATATTACAAACTATTTATGGCACATATATATATATATATAGAGAGAGAGAGAGTAGTGATTCATTTACTTATACTTATTTCATTCAATAATTAATGTTTTACATTAAACTTTAATGATTCAACTGTTAACTTAAAAGTTTTTAATGTATAGATGTAATTTTTGTAAAATTTTGAAAAATTTAAAAACTATTTAATACTCTGTTTCATTCATTGCAATCAACATATAAAATATTTTTATGATTATCTGTTAATTTGAATTAATGAAACGAAATATCAAATAATTTTTAAAATTTTTAAAATTTTGCATATATAATTCATGCATTAATAACTTTTAATTCAATAATTAAATTATTAAAAATTGATATAAAAAAGTTTTATATCTAAGTAAACTTATTTTTAAAGTAAATGAATCCTCTTCATATATGTATTTCATGTCACAAACTGAAATTATTTCCTTAAAAAGTAATCAAGTAAATGTTTGAAAAGAAAAGGTTTATTAATCATTTGGTTAAATCTGCTTTAATTCCTATACATAAAAATTCTAGTTCTAGTATGCTCTAGTTTTAATTCTTATACAGACAACTTTTAATGTTTTCATTTTAGATATAAGAACTAAAACAGAATTTTTTTTATATAGAAACTAAAACAAAAAGTTGGTTAGATATATGGATCAAATGATTAGTTAAACAAAAAAGGAAAAAATGTAAGTTTAATATTTTATTACTAATTGATGCTATTGTCCCATAAGATAAACTGAGTCACTCATATAAATGCAAGCATCTTATTTGTGTGCGTAGGCCCTTCGGCATGCCCATAAATCGCAGATTTAGTCAAATTCTGAACATGTTGCACTTAATATAGAAGAAAGACTGTTACACGTACGTGTTTGGTTTACTCGTTTTAAACCTAAACAAATTTTACAGAAATAGATTAAACAACATTTTTTTAATATTCAAGAGATCTAACAACTAGAAGTATGTTGTGTCAAATAGTTCGTTAGTAGTTCCATTTTTTTTCAATGTAGGTTTGACTTCACAAGGTCTAGCTGGCATGATTAAACATAATACATATGCCTATGTTATGCCCTGAAATATCATAGATTCTTTTTGTTGAATATAAATAAGGTTAAAAACTAAATTTGTGTTGTTATTCATATATAGCAGGCGAGAGAAGGAAATGGTAACAACATAGAAGAGTCACCCACAAATGTTAAGAAGAGTTACAAAGGAGGGTGGAAAACTGCAATTATCTTGTTAGGTACTAAACAAATAATCAGAAATGAATAGCAAGTCTTCCATATTTTCTTTCCTTTCATATACATGCAACATGTTGTGATTTAATATTGTACTCAATGCAGGGAATCAAGCACTGGCCACACTAGCTTTCTTTGGAGTTGGAGTGAACTTGGTTCTGTTTCTGACCAGAGTCCTTGGTCAAGACAGTGCCGAGGCTGCCAACAATGTGAGCAAGTGGACAGGGACTGTTTACATATTTTCACTGATTGGAGCCTTTCTCAGTGACTCATATTGGGGTCGATTTTTAACCTGTTCGATCTTTCAGCTCTTTTTTGTTGTGGTATTGTATTCCCCTTACATCTTTCAACAACACTTTCCTTGCATTAGCAATACTATGAAATTCTGAATATGTATGTTGAACATCAATAGGGCTTGGGGCTGCTCTCATTTACATCGTGGAGGTTTTTGCTGAAACCATCTGGTTGTGGCAATGAAGAAACAAAATGCAATGAACCATCATCTGTTGGTGTTGGCATTTTCTACTTGTCCATATATCTAGTGGCATTTGGATATGGAGGGCACCAACCCACCTTAGCAACCTTTGGTGCAGACCAATTTGATGAGAAAAATGAAAAACATAGGAACGCAAGAGAAGCTTTCTTTTGTTATTTTTACTTTGCCCTCAATGTAGGATCTCTTTTCTCCAACACTATATTAGTATACTACGAGGATTCAGGGATGTGGACCATGGGTTTTTTGGTGTCACTAGCCTCAGCTGTTATTGCATTAGTTTCATTCTTAGCTCCTTACCAAAAATATAGATATGTAAGTGCATATGGGAATCCGGTGATAAGGGTAACTCAGGTGTTTGTGGCTGCTTTTAGAAAGTGGAAGGTTGATTCAGCGAAGGAAGACCAACTTTACGAGGTTGATGGTCCGGAATCTGCCATAAAAGGGAGTAGAAAGATTCTGCATAGCGAGGATTTTAGGTAATGAAAACATTAATAATGTGATTGAGTAAGAGCATGTTTAGATACAAGCACAAAAAGACTTCTACAGAAAATACTCTTTGTTTTCAATGGAGAAGCTCTCAAAAATCCTCCTATACTATATCCAAACAAGCTCTAAAACAATATTTGATTGTTTGATTTGGTTTGTGGAATTGAAACTTACATCCTTGGTTAACTTTTGTTGATGTTGAGCAGATTCATGGACAAGGCAGCAACAATAACGGAGAAAGATGCAGCTAATCGTAACAATCATTGGAGGCTTTGTACCATAACTCAAGTTGAGGAAGCCAAATGCGTATTGAGAATGCTACCAGTTTGGCTATGTACTATAATTTACTCGGTTGTGTTCACACAAATGGCCTCTCTTTTTGTGGAGCAAGGAGATGTGATGAACAACAAGATAGGAAACTTTCGGTTGCCAGCAGCCAGCATGTCAGTGTTTGATATCTGCAGTGTCCTTTTATGCACTGGAATTTATCGCCAAATCCTTGTTCCTCTGGCAGGAAGAATTACTGGCAACCCTAGGGGACTAACTGAGCTTCAAAGGATGGGAGTTGGCCTAATTATTGGAATGTTATCTATGATTGCAGCTGGTGCCACAGAGATTCAAAGGCTTAAACAAGTTACACCGGGGCAAAAGGCTAGTTCTTTGAGTATATTTTGGCAAGTTCCACAGTATGTTCTAGTTGGTGCTTCAGAAGTTTTCATGTATGTGGGTCAATTGGAGTTCTTTAACGGGCAAGCCCCAGATGGCATAAAAAGCTTTGGGAGCTCACTTTGCATGGCTTCAATTTCCCTGGGAAACTATGTGAGTAGCATGCTGGTGTTCATGGTGATGGGAATCACTGCGAGAGGTGAGAATCCAGGATGGATTCCCAATAACTTGAATGTGGGGCATATGGATAGGTTTTTCTTCCTTGTTGCGGTGTTAACTGCTGTTGATTTTGTGCTCTACATAATGTGTGCTTGCTGGTACAAAGGTATCAACAACGTCGAAGTTGATGACATGGGAAACCAACAAGAGGACACTGAAATGATCAGTAAAGTTTGATTTAGTAGCTTTGAATTTTTATTTTTTTGCTAGGCTAGGCTACGCATTTTGTTTATCTTGGTAATTTTCATAAGGCCATTCAAGGATGATCCCTTTAAGTGACACAAAGCCTGAGCAGCTCAATGTGAGATAGAATTGACAAAATATTGGTGGGATGATTGCTTTCTTAATAACTCGACAGCTTTGTTTTGGACATTAGAGTCAGATGTCTAATTTGGCATTTGGAGTTATGCTATTCTATGAATCACTGTAAATGCTTTACTGAAAGATAAATGAATATATAAGGCATTCTTTGGTGAGGATCAAACTACAAATTTTCACATCGGTTTTATGTGCCTGTTAACTAATGTACCAATCCAACGCTAAGGAGTGAAACATATCACAACCTTTTGGAAATTTTCAATCCCAGACAACGACACAAATCCTACAGTTATTCACCTGGTAAGACATAAAGAAGTTAATGAGATCAATTTACATTTTTTTTCTAGACAAAAATGTACAATATTAAAGTACTTTCTTTTTAGAAAACACAGTCTACGCCAGGGTTTTTCATATATAAGCAGCATAAATTTTCTATTGGTCAACATCAAAATTGGAAGTCCAGAAATGAGGAGACAAAGATATGTTTCCTAAATACTACAAATTCTCCCTAGACACAATGGCATGCAGCTGCTTTGCAGTCCATGTTACTTCAACAAGTCCATGAAGAAGGGGAGCAATATCATCTGCCATAGTCTTCAAAAGCGTTCTGCATTCTGTTAAAAAAAATTTAAAGGTTTTAAATAGCATAATACAAATTATGCACGCTTAACAAAGTTGTATGCTCGTATTCATCATCCTTCTAAATATATTTCACACCCTATGTCATAATCACTTATTGAGTGCATTGACCCCAAAATCGGTTATTATCTAACTTAAAAACAAGGCAACAATGAATTTTTTCATAAGAAAAATGGAGTAAGAGTCTCTAATAAAAACTTTCATAATATTATTCTTTTCCCCCTACGTAATTCTTTTCCTCCTCCTCATATAGTGTACTTCGTTTTCACATAAGATTATATCATTTCTCCCTTTAAAATTTGAAACAATAATTGTCTGCAACAATTTCAAAAAATGGCAATATTTTTAACAAAAAAAAATGTGCAGAAGATGGCGAACCTGATATTTTACTGAAATTAAGCAAAGACAAAGAAGCAAGAGTCTTCAGCTCAAGTTCTCCATTTTCGAGGATTCCTTTCAACTGAGAAATGATGGATAAGAAGGCAGGAAGATGCAATCCAGAACCAAATAATGTAGATAATGAGGAGCTCAACCACGTCACAGTTATTAGACACGTCCTCACTAATTCTAGGTGCTTACAATCTAAACATCTATATATGCTCTTCAAAAATGGGCTTTCTCCATCACCAATCAACGACTTTAACAGGTTCTTTAGCAACTCTTCACCCCTTTTTTCTTCATCTTCATCTTCCTATAATTTTAAATAAATTATCAGCCAAGATAAGTGCAAGCATCAAAAGTTTCTTTAATGCACAAGTGTAGACATTTTAATTTTGTCAAGACATCTAGATTCGTTAGTGTTTATTTTGGGATAATGATAATGCATATGCATGCTAGTTGATATTGTTCACAGATTAAAGGATTTGTTTGATCTGTATTGGGAGATAAGTATTTTACTTTCTTCAATAATTAATTAATTATATGCATCATCAAACACATGCCAAGAGACTGTATCATTGTATCCAGTATACACAAGAATAAACTAGCTATGTTTCCGTAGATTAAAAGTCAGCAATAATTCAAAAAAACATACAATTATGAAATTTAGATACATAGGACTAAAAAACGATGACACTTAGTTATAGACAGTTAATTATTGCATTGATACAAAGAAGAGTTGAACCCTGCTCTAGCCCTTAATCTGTTCTACAATACCAACCAACCTTTCATCTGATCAGCTACTGAACTTCTCATAACATAAATCACCCCATTAATCCAAATTACCGAGCACCACAATCTACACTTTACTAGTCTACATACACAAATAATAAACATTAAAGCTAGAAAGATTCTGGCTCGAACACTACATATAGAGAAAATAGGTATAGATATTGTACAACCCTTATATATGTCACAAAATTTCTCAAGTAAAATAGCTTTTTATATTGGTTGATATGGTGCAGAGAATGTCCTAAAGAGATAACAAAGTCCCTAACAAGAAAACTTACCCATGAAATGGTTGCATCTGACTGTTTACCCTCTTCTTCATGGCCAAGAGGTTTCCCTTCTAAGCTATCATTATTATAACCTGCTTGTTTTAAGATGCTAGTCTTGGTTGGTATCTTTCCAGTAGAAGAAAAATGGCCGCACAAGATTAAAAGTGCTCTGCAACACTTCTCTCGGGACTTGTCATCATTTAAGCTGGCATCAAGTGCCTCTGCAATGCCATTCACAGCCACCTCTCTGTATATGCTAAACTTTTGAGGCTCAATCTGCAGTGCAAAATTGTTATAGTCTATAAGTTTGCAAAGCAGAAATTAAATTTCATTTATCATTTAATTAAGAAAAAGTTATACACGAAATAGACCGAAAGAGTGCTGAATATTGGAAAGAACAATGAATCCATTTGGTCTTTAAATATTATTCAGACAATTTCATCTTTACGCTAAATCTACAGAATATCTTAATCTATCTCCACTAAAAAAACAAAGGTTGGTAATGAAGCAAATTGCATTTGCAAGATTTTAGGTTATGTTAGGATTGCATGTTACACGCCAGTATGTAAGTTTATTAAATAAGATCAGAAACATGGACTGCTAATGTTCTGATTTCAAGTGTTTGTTCTATTCTAAACGTTTGATTCTTTATTTTTTTACATTTTTTCCTGGAGAAGATGGAGAGATGTTCAACAGAAGCAGCATCCCTTAAATGCATTAAGAAACATTAATGATTTGGTGAATTTTCAGACCCAAATTATACGTAGGTAGTCATTCTTTATGTAAATGCAGTTACAAGTACAATTATATATGTCAATATTTAGAGGCAACAAACTACATAGTAAAAATTATTCATCGATTTTCCTAATCTAATTTTTTGAATTAATTTAATACAAAAAATTATACAGAAATAAGGGGAGTTTTGACAATTGCCTGCCACGAGATTCCTACAGTTAACTTGATAGACTGGAAAATGTCTCAAAAGTAAGGGTGTACTGCGCTTTAGTGGGTAAAGTGCAAAGTTATAATGGTTGGAGATTCCTCTTTTGAGATTGTGTCATTGTGCATGTACATATATAACAAATTAAGAAACTATTAAATTTAAGCGATAGATTTTTCAATGAATGGTTATAACTCCCCACTTTATTTTCTTCTCCAGCTTTCATGTTAAACCAGCTGAGATTATTTCAAATGATAATACAAGAAAATTGACATGAAATGATTATAATGGGAAAACTGGGGTAACTTTTTCAACATTACTTGAGCATACCAGCAGATCAAAGTGTAACAAAAGAACAGCAATTAGGGGCTTTTCAAATGAAGAATTCTTGAGATACATGAGCAGAATATGCATTATATTAAATACTTTTTCACCCGCCAAGCGACTAATGAATGAAGTAAAATCCTTTCTCCTACAAAAAAAAGAGTAGTTGAATAATTAATATTTCAAGAGTACTAAATAGATATCAGTTGTCCGAGTAACAATTTTTTTTCTGGAAATTTATGATATTCAGAATATGCTGATAAACAACTGACCAAAATATTTAATGCACGATTTTATACAAGTGGTTTAAAGATCCCTCATGGCTTCCTTTAGTCTATTGAATAACTTTTAGCACAAAATAATGCTTACTTTAGCACAAAGTTGTTACGAGTTTGCACTCAGTCAGCTTTTCAAGATAGTGAGCTTATAAATGAGGAAGCATTTTAGGAGTTATAAATTGAATTTTAGGCTTACATTCAATAATTTTAACTCACCACATTCATCTTTTTTTCTTTTTTTTTCAAATGAGGTCATATTCACTTATTCCTCAAATAAATAAGTCCAAGTTGAAAATTGCCTCAGTACTTCAGTTAGATGTTACCAAATATTTGGTCATCCGACCAAATCTTTATGAGATTTTATTGAATTGTTTTCTGTTATGTTTTATTTTTAAGAGCAATAATGTTGGAGAGTTTGTTTTATAATTTAAAAGCTGAAGAAAAAATGATCATTTTTGAAATAAATTTGACCTGTATGTTGCCTTAGGCTATAAATCAACCTTACGTAATTGAATTCCAAAATTTGATAACATTAACCTCTTCATTGATAAAAGTCCAGTAAGGAATCGTATTGCATTTGTTGTTGGGGTATCTTCCTTGCTGTGAAGAAGCTCGAGTAGACATTTTCTGTTAACACTCCTTGCTATCATATATATGCAACCAGGGTCCACTTGAATACAATTTAGCAAGAGTGATACCACATGTGATTTTTCTTGCACATTTCCCTTTTCAAACCTCCTAAAGAGAAATGGAAGAACTCCTAAAGAGATGAGATGCTTAGCATAAGTTGATTTTTCCTCTTCTTTCAAAGAGGAGAGAAGACTCACTAACACGAAAACGGCAGCCTCATCCTTCTTATTCAACTTAAACTCTTCTGAATTCTCTATTGTTTGAGAAGCAAGATCAAGGAGGTAATCAAAACGTTCTGACTTCCAATTATCAATCAAACGCTTCAGAATAAGGTTGGTAAATGGCATGACCACACATTCCAAAGTATTTCCTGTTACCGGGCATGTTCTATTTCCCTTTTCAAACCATGCTTTGATGGCCTCTCTTTCAAAGGTTTGACCAGTCTCTAGGGTCACTGGTTCCTCAAAGATATTTCCAGTAAGAGGACAAATAAATTCCTGTGGTATGCTTGGAAAATATGATCCTGCACCAATACTTCCATGTACAGCATTTAGGAAATCCAATACTTAATAGAGAATATGCTATCTGAAGGAAGGTACATCAATTAAACAGCATTTTTCTCACCTACAAGAGCAGAACTTGTCTTATTTGGCTGCACATGAAATATTATAAATTAGAGAAGGTGATCAGATATATGAAGTTATAAATGCTACATAGATAGTGAAATATTAGAGCGACTGAGATGAAAGAATATGCTTCACGTTTCTAAAACAAATGTTGCACCTTTTTGAGAGCAAGGTCATTTGATTTTTCATGTGAGAAATCGTCGATAACGTGACTGCTTAACTTAGTCTGCATAGAGAAAGAGTTATTAGTGTCATCGCTGAGATTCCTTTTCTGCGATTCTTCTAGAGTCATTGAAGTTCCTTTCTGCTGTCAATGTTATCGGCAATGTAAACATAAGTGAGATGTAGAGAAAGAATAGAAATAAATATGTTAATGCCACTCCAACTATAAAACAATTTTTATAAATTATATAACTCCAAATCTACAAAGTGCATAATTTGATTCAAGATGTATGTAGAACCACCAAAATAAACGTAACGATTCCAAACAAAATGACTGATGATACAATTTCATAAATATACAATTCAGACTTTTGCATATCAGGACCAAGAATCCCTTGCTTGTAATTTTCCCAGCAAGAAAATATACGGAGAAGAGAAATCTCTTACAGGCTTGATTGTATCAATTGCTACACCTTCAACAAAATCTTCAATGTCTTGATCTGTAAATTTGACAGTTTCAGACTCATAAGTTAATGTCTGTTTAACAATAGTTGAACCATAAGAGCCATGCACACACTTTTCTAAGTTATCATCATCCTTAATATCTTTGACTTGGTAAACTCTAGGTTTACTTGAGCTACCAAACATAGAATCATACAGTTTCTTGCTGACCATTGGCTGCGGTGAGAATGAATCAACGGAGTTAGTAGACTCAAAAGAATGACCAAGTGAACTTCCCTCTTGACTTCCTGTGACAGAAACCGAAGGAATGCTAATTGAAGGAATATGTGGAGATTCTACTCCTTCAGTGAGCCAATCTTTGTAGTATACAGCAAATATACGAGTTCCAGAATCCAGATGTTCATTATATACTTTTTGAAGAAATTTTAGCTTTCTTGTTTTGCTTGGTGCATCTACTAGAACTTCTGCTTCCTTCTTATACCATGCCTTCAAATGAGAAAATTGTGGAGAAAATAGATGCTCCCACAGTTCAGGCAACAATATAGTCCTTGCCTGAGAAGGTGAATCACAAAACACTTGCAAGAGATGCTTTGCTGACACCTTATTTTTTTTCTGCATCATGTATACCACACTGAGGTAAAGATGAGCACAGGCTGACAACTTATAGTTTGGGATTCCACACGTACACTCGTACTTCAAATCATTTAAACTCAAACCTGTAATTATGCTAAGCTGCATCGTGGTTCTTTTCAGATACGTGGTGGATATAGGTTCCTCAGCAGTTTCTTCAATGGCCTCAATTGCTTGCTCAAGACTTCTTATGACTTTGGTCTCAGAATTGTTCTCTTCTTCCAGTTCAATAAAGTTGAAGGAGGAGAAACATTTGTGACGCAATGAAGACCGAAAATCCTCATCTTTTGGAAAACGTTTTATATATCCATTAAGAATGGAAACTACTGCTTTGATAGCTGCTTCATCAAGAGCTAGAGTAGAAGCTTCTTGCATAGCATGATTGCTATTTTTATTTCTGCTACTATAATCAAAGCTTTTGCTCTTAGATGTAGAGTATGAGTCCTTCTGGGGTTTTATATTCTTTCTAGTTTCACTAGAGTGTCTAAGCATATGCATACTGGAACTTCTGCTGTGCACCTTTGCATCCTTGACAGGCTCTTCCACAAGTTCATTGAAATTCGTCTCTTTGCCTCTTTTTGCAGACACTTCTTTTGAATAAGTATCTTTAACTCTGCTAGATTCTTGCTCAATCACCTCAGGGATCTCATACCTTGGCATGTACTCTGGTGAATTGGTATCAACTCCTTTGCCAGCGGAATCTGTATCGGTAGAAGAGTTCTTCTCAATTTCATTCTTCAACCGTTCGTCCATTTTGTCTCTCAAAAAAACATTATCCCTTGACCTCCCGTTCTTAGCAGTAAGAGAGTCAACTTTTATTTGTCCACTTGTAATCTGATATCGTGAGGCACCAGAGCTTGTTCTGTGTGTTCGAATTCTTTCACTTGACACACTAAATCTCCCTTCCACAGAGTAAAGAGGCTCACTTGAAGCACCATGGTGGAAGGAGGATCTAGACTTTGTCATTCTTCTGCTTTCTTTGAACCCCTCCTCTTCAAGAAGCTCCTCCAAAGTTGAAGCCATTTCAATCCTAGTTAAAGGCAAAGTTAAAATACATTCAAAGTGAGACACAATTATCAAGTTGAAAACCAGAAGGAAGTGAAAAGTGAGAAAGAAAAGGAATAATCTAAAGTCTCAACAACCCTGTAGACAGTTTACCTGAATACTTTGTTTTGCTTTTTTTCCCTTTGTTGATTTTGGTTTAAACATCATACGAATCAGACTTGTTCAACAAACATCTGCAAGTGAATGGAGGAGCTATCACCACCAATTCTTGTCATATTGAAACTGGCTATGCATACAAAGTTCAAAACAACAGACAAATGAAAGAACATGGGGAAAAGATAACAAATTAAAGAGAATGATAGAGATGTTGATTGGTGAAAGGCCATGACATACACATATATAAATGTTAGAAGAGTTTAAAAAGTTGAGTAATAAGAAAAAGAAAATAAAGTGAAGAAGAACAATTGGCAACAAGGTAACACGCATGAGTTGAGTGGACAAGAGAAAGGCGATAAATAAGAGACCGAGAAGACTTTGACAGTCGCGAACATGTCCGAGATTTGAATGTTTCAAGGACGGTAGACATTAACATTGTCTTTCTTTTTGTCATTAGTTTTAATTTTTTGTAAATGCAATTGCAGGCCTTGAAATCTCAATATCATATTCTTATTAATATATGCCAAATAGGAAAGAGTCGCAGATAGTACTAACCACTAACCGTCTTCAACTGCCACCAAACTAGTTTTATATGTCTATCTGTCCACATTGTTTCAACTCTTCTTGTTTTATTATACTTAATAAATGCTTTGATCTAACAAAATACTTCAACAATATGAATGTTGGCAACACATTCTTTTTTACCCTCATTTTTACATCCTTTCAACAATAGTTAAAATTATAAATAAAGTATAAAATCATAACTAAAACTCTTTTTTTAGGTGATTTTTATTAAATATTTGTACAAGTTGTCATGAAAAGCTACAAATATTTTAAATTTTTAATAAAGTTATGTGTTGATCGTCATGAAAGGCCATTGAATTCAAGGTTTGTAGCTAAGATTTTAAATTTTTATACTTAGTCTTTGTTTTCGTATATATTATTGGATAGTTCATAAAATGATTTTTAAAAAATGATAAAAAAAATACCAAACTAAACCACTTTATTAAACAACAAAAAAATTGGTTCAAATCAAACTTTTTTTTAATATATATAAAGGGCCGTGGTTTAAATTTTCTCAAGAGTTCAGATATTTTTAAGCTAATTTAGTTGTATTTGGTTTAGTAATGTTTTTTACATTCATGTATAATTTAATTTTTCAAAATACTGAATCAACCTACTTTGTAAAAATGATTTAGTTAATCAAACCATTCTCATAAAGTAATTTAATTCGAATACTCTCAAAATTTAATTTCTTTTAATTAATTCGTCCATATATATTGATGCAGCTAAAAATTTTAATGTACACCTGTATTTTGTATTGTGTATTTTATTTTATGTTTTATAATATAGTTGATGTGTCTACCAGTTTAGAGTAAAAGACCTATCTCTTTTGAAGTATGTTTAGCTTTGTAATGATGTTGGACAGGTCACCCATACCTATTACTCTGTTTTTATGTATATTTTATATATACATATGAGAAAAACTATGAATGAAAATCATTCATGATCCTAATCTATACACTCTTGTGCGATAGATATCTTGTACATGAACATTTTTAATAGTTATTCTTTAACAAGAATGTATTAAACATTTTTCTTGGATGAGTCTTTAACGAGAATTCAATTTTTAGCTGATGGCAGGCTTTTTTGTGTTTTCATGGCAGAGTTAACGAGGTGGATGTACTTAATGCTACTGCAGCTTTGTTGGAGGCAGGGTCTACTTTATGCTTATTCAATGGCAGGTTGGAGACCTGCTAGTGCTTGCTAAGCTTGGAAGATTCTATGAAGGTGCTTTGAGGCACTGGCCAAGTCTCTCAACCAACACTTAGCGTTCTTATTTATCTTTTCTTGCTTTTTTCTCTGTTTTTGATTCTCATTGTAACCATAAAAAAAAAATAAAGAAAAAAAAAACGTAAAATATACATTGTGTTTTCTCTTTCTACATATGTGTTTTGCTAATATTATTACAGTTGCCCTTGCCGCGATTAAATTTATAAGTGAATTGAATTCCAAGATTTAATAAAAAATTTAATTTGGTTCTAATTGAACGTGTTTTATAATTAATCATTATAGTCACCTTAGTATTGGAGAATTGGATTATATGCAATCCTTTTCATAATTCCTAAAAAAAATACAATTATAACTACTCTTGGTTCCTTTAAATTACTCGGTAAAATTTTAAAATCTACAAAATAAGCTGTCACATAACCAATCTAGATTATCAAAAATAAATAAATAAATAAATAAATATATATATATATATAAATTCAAACGATACTAATATAATTTCTATTCAATATTATATCATTTAATAACTTTATATTAAATATGAATTTTATAAATCTAATTGTTGAATTATAATCTTATATCACTTGATATGCTTATATCAAATTTTATTAAAATTAAACAACTTGAAGATAATCAAAATATTTATACTTTTTTTATATTTTAAAATATATAATACATTAATTATTTTATAAAAAAATATCAAATCATTTTAAATTAATATAAATTTTTGTATATATAATCTAAAAATAAAGAACTTTCATTCTAACAATTAAATTTATAAAATTATTTAATATAAAATTATTGAATAGTATAATACTAACTAAAAATTACACTAATATCATTTAAACTCTTCTCTCTCTCTCTCTCTCTCTCTATATATATATATATATATATATATATATAACGAGCTATTAACTCAAACCATTAAAAAGTCAAAAAACTTAGACTCAGCTCATTTAAATAATCAAAAACCAAACTTGAATAGCTTCACCCATTTAACCCTTGCTCGTATTCCTCCTCTGTTATTTCCCTCCCGTTATCACATCCAAAAATAAAAAAGCAACTTCAACGACCCTGGACAAGTTTAATGGTGGAGGTGCAACATAAGAAGATTTAAAACTCACCGAAGATGCATAACTTACGGACTTGATAACTTTCATGTTAGACAATGATAATCAAATGCTATAACAAAAGAGAAACGTAGCATCTGTCTCATAGTTACAACTTCTTACTTACAATTGCTACAGAAATCTTGCTGCAGCTATTAGCGCAACCAAGAATTTTGGGCTCCTAATAAATTAAGCCTTCACCTAGACAAGCTATTCCTTGTTGCGAGAAGTGCGCTCCTTCCTTTGGCCACCAAGAATACGAGAAATTTGCAAACCTCTGCTGAATGCTTGGTTGAACAGCATACGGGTTTGAAATTCTGAAACAAAAGGAAACCAAGCCAGAAAAGCAACAGGAGTGAACAAAAGCAAACCCATGATAATCTCATAACCCCGAGCAAGTGTTTTCACTGATCCCCAAAACCCAGCACGGCGTACTACAGGTTTTAATGCTTGAGCAATCTGCAAAATAAAAGAACAGCAACAGAAAATTCAAAACCACAAACAAGTTGATGGCAATTGGCAACAAAGATAATGCGATAGTTCCATCAATATGGATGCCCCACCATACAACACAAGATAGATCATAGAACCACACTACTAAAACAAATTATACACGAACAAATATCTCTTAAAAATTCTTCATCTATCACTCTTTCGAAATCATAAGCTAACGAGTTCATGTCAAAAATAGTCTCTGGCTCACATTCACAGAAATTTTCCAAATAGATAATGTGATCCGGAATGTTATGGGGGATCTTTTACCCCTATTGGTATGGCTTTGTAGTCGCAAATCTTTCACAAATTCATAAATACAAAAATAAATGGGGATATAGCACTCCCCGCAAAGGAATATTCATTTAGTAGGGAAAAAGTTGAAAGAGAATTCACCTGCAGCATTCCCCAACCAGTTGGCATGAAAGCAAGAATGCAAACAATGATGTCCTGCACTGTCATATGCGGAAGGGCAATCAAAATGACAAGAATTGAGACAAAAGTGAGGAATATCATCCCCTTGATTAGTCGGAAGACAAGCTGAAAATTTGCACTGAATTTACGCCTCCCAACAGATACCGTCTGAGACAAGAAAAACAGAAAACCGAATTGGGTCAGACCATAGGAAAGTAGTGTTAACATTTTTTTGGGCAAGAAAATGAACAAGAACATATGTATTTTAATTCAATATAAGAAAACTCCTACCCCCACTATAATAATGAACGAATGACCAAATGCTCTTGTGAGACAAGAATGAGTACGCAGTCAAAGAATACATGTACAATTATAACATGGCCATACAAGATACAGCAGCTTGTTACTAACCTTCATCACAAACAATATTACGAATATCACCAACCATGAAACGCCATAGACCTGTTATCCAAGGAAGGGATATCCATCATTCCATTCAACTTACCAAATTGTAATTAGTGATAGAAAAAATACCGGAAAAGGGGACAACATAGCTTAAGAATTACCAGAAAACTTTTCTCGCCCTTCTTTGTAATATTTAAGTGATATACCAGACCATACTGGTAGATAAAAAATCGCAATGATAACAGAATCTCCACTATGATTCCTCGCATTCCTGAATATTGGAGATGCTCTTGTTCCTCTTCCCACCAAGATTCCCAGCTTTTTTCAGGCAGTACACCTATACCCCCTCGGTTACTAATCCATTTATTCCAATCAGTCCAATCATCAACAATTTTTTGCCATTCAAACCCAGAAGGATTGAACAAGAAGGGAGCAAACAGCCAGGTACCCACCATAAACCACATTGATGCGGTAATCAAGATATATGCAACAGCACTTCTGTAACTATGACCAAAAATTTGATATACAACAAGCAATATCATGAGCTCAATACCCTTGACAAAGTGGCTACGAGAGTAAAGTCTGTAGTTATCAGCAAACTTAGCATGGAAAACCACAAATCCTCGACCAGTGGGTCTATATTTTGCACCTCCATGAAGCAATGTTCTTCCAAAATAGTGAGTCTTCGTTCCAAGTGAAAATGTGAAGAATACTGGGGCCAGCTGCAGTTGCATTAATATAAACTCACTAAGCGCAGTTCGGAAGCCCCTTTCCAAACCAATTTCCATCAACATGGGCAGGGCCATCAAAACCCCAATTTGAACAAATGACTGAGAAGCAAGAGCCACCTGAAGAGGCTTATTGTCTCGAATGGCTTTTTGTGTACTAAGACCTTCTTCGAGCCCACTAAGAACAAGATAGAGGCGACCATAGAGGAATACATATACAGTGAGAACAGTTATCTGCACAAAATTGACAGAAAAAGTTCAGAAACCTGATATTTAAAAACTTGAAAAATATATGACCAGTCTTAAGTTCACATTGCAACCGGCTCCCCGACTGCCATATTTCATCTCATTTTGATTCCAATAGGAGTCTTCCTAGTTAAAAATAATAATAATAATCTACATAATTTTAAGAAGAGTTC